AAAGAAAAGAAAAGAAAAGAAAAGAAAATTTTTGTTAAAATTTTTTTGATGGTCATATTAATAAAATCACATGGATTCGAGTGGAGTTTGAAAAAAAATATCGCTAGTGTAGTTTAAAATCAAGATTTACAAATTGCACTCGCCTCACGCTCCTGCAATTTGAAAATCTAGATTTTGAAATGCACTTGTGATATTTGTTTCAAACTGCACTCGAACCCATTCGATTTCCTATACGAAGAGTCACAAGTGCTAAATAAGTTTTTTTTTATTCTAGTGATCAGATTTATTCCAAAGATCGTATATGCCGGTAGAGTAGAAGGAGAGGTGTTGTTTAACTACAAGCAAGGGAGCCCGAACAAAGGACAGCAAATTACCATAGAAATCGAGTAAACTAAAGTGTAGTATAAGGGCCAAGGTCAAACGTTGAACGTCACATGAGCCGTACCTATTGAAAGCAATGGATGATTAGGCAGTGTTCTTTAGGTTCGGCTCATGTGAAGTTCGACGTTTGTATTCGGCCTAAATGTAGTGTATAAGTGTAGTAAGTGTATTATAACCAATATGTTTTTCCTTCTTTCTCGCTCTATAAAACAATATGAATTCCTGAATGAAAAATAACAAAAAGGGGGGAAAAACAAGGCCAAAAAATCTAAGAAAGAGAGAGAGAGAGAGAGAGAGAGAGAGAGAAAAGAATTGAAAAGAAGGGAAGGAAAGGTAAAGAGAAGGAAACGATCGAAAACGTTACCCATCCTTCCAGGTCAACACAGCGCCTCAGTTTGTGCGGATGTCTCGGAGGTATGGCACAGTGGATAATCAAATTCTCTTGTTAGGTGTAGTTTCGAATCCCACCATGTCAATTGCTATATGTCTTTATTTATGATCGATGATGTTTGTGTGCCTAGCTACTATGTGAGTTAAGGTTTTTTGTTTTCTTCCTTGCAAGGGTATTTATCCGGCTTCTCCGGTTTCCTCCCTTCGTAAAAATCAACATGTGAGTTGAGCGTTGTGTGCTTATCATTAGAACTTTAAATGTAGTGGTAGTGTGTGTGAGTGTCCTTAATTAGTGCAAAAGCGTTAAAAACTATAACTAGACACTACAACTAAATAAAAAGATATATTTTTGCCTGTCTTTTATCAACAGGTACAAGTTCAGAGTTGATTTGTTCGGCTGCTCCAATCAGATGGAAGAGGACAAGGAGTACTACGTGGGTGCTTCAGTAGCCACTTCTAATTATTACACCATGAGGTTCTTCATGTTGACCGACTCCAACAAGAAACCAATCATGTTTGATAAGTATCTGAATGAGCACAAAGATAATCCACCGGCTTGTCGTCCGACTACGAAGTGATTAGCCCCATACCGACCGGGCCACCAAGACTACCTACTATATGACCTCTTATACTCTGAGACGGAGAGAGACAGAGAGAGACAGAGAGACACAGAGAGAGACAGAGAGAGAGGGGGGGAGGGAGAGAGAGAGAGAGAGGTGGGGAGGGAGGACGAGAAATCTCTCTAACCCTCCCGACCCCTCCGACTAAATACTTCATATCTCATAAGAGATAACGTCAAAACAAATGTGATCTTTAAGGACAAATAGAACAAAACTTTCTTGTCTTTCTTTCTTTCTTTCTTCGCGTTTCGACATCATTCAGTAGAGTATACTGTATACTGCATTCTGATAATACTAGTGAGGTGCGATAGTACAGAATATGCACAATATACAATAGAGGTCTATTTTACTATGATGTACTTTCTTTTTAGTCTTACTAAAACGCATCCCACATGGAAAGGAGTGAGTAATCCGTTCAAAGCCATCAGCGTCATAACCAGGATTTTTGAGTATGCTGGTCATAGCAAGGGGTTAATCATCTATGGTCTAGGGGCCGACTAACCTCTCCCTTAGGCTTCGGCCGAGCTTCCTGATCAGTTTGTAAATCTTCGGATAGCGGTGTCGGGGTCGAAATCTCCGGCGTAGCCGTAAATGCTTCGCGCTGCCATACGACGGTTCAGCACTCGATGTCTGGAAGTATGGTCCTAGTTTAATAAATCAAAAAGCAAAAATCTTAAATAAGCATAACATGCTTTTATTATGTCTATATGTACTGATCGAATAGATGTCAACGAGCAATTTTGCGCTAGCGTTCAAGTCCTTTTCAAATGTCTAAATATTTCTTTTAGGGCAGTCTTCTATCATTGCCTTAATTTTGGATTCACTGCAAACATCAAGAAGCAAGTTTTTTCCTCAAAACTCCAAGTTTGTCGCCACTTTTAGCCGGGCATTTTTGTAATGGTAAAAACAATGCAATTTTTGTACAGGCTGGCAAAACCGGGTTCGGCGAGCGTGCAGACAACGCGCGCGCGCGCGTCCGCTTTGGCGGGAAACTACCGCTCGGCCAAAAGTACTGGAGTAAGATCGATTTAATATCAATCGGTATCGTTCCCGATAGTAGGTAGATCGGTTTAGTTAAAATCGATCTAAAATAAACCACCTCTCGAGCCGCTCTAATTTAGATTACTTGTAATCGATCTAAATGCAAACGTGAACAGTCTAAATCGTGTAGGAACGATCCGAATCGAACTAAATAGCCCTAGTGTGACCACGCTGTGTGTGACTACGCTGTAACGTCTGGCCAGTTAGCACGATTAGCGTTCACACTTACATGCGAGCTACTTTAGGTCGAGTCGAGACCACCTCTTGAGCACTCTTGAGGTGGTCTTGAGGTAGTCTATTTAGATCGATCAAGGGGAGGATGGGAACGGGGACTGGGAAGTCCAGTCCCCCTCCTCAAAGCGTCGCTTTGCAGCCTAATAAATTTAAAACGTCTCCTAAAACTCGTCCCTGATGATTACGTTAAAACTTAATTTAGCTCATTTTTCATAGTTTTGGTGTATATCCTTGGGATTGTTTTAATTTTGAGTGTGACCCCTGATTTTCTACATCTGAAGAGAGAATATTATATAACTTTTTAGTATTGTTTTTGTAATATTTTGTCATGCGCGCGCACTTTCAAATCGCTGCAATGAGTAATTTGCTAGAACACAGGCAACCAATTCTTACTTTTGTTTGGTGTTGTTGTCATTTAGTGTTTTTGTTTGGTAGAAAATAAGAGATACTTTATATTCTCGATGATTAAAGAAAATTAACATTTACAATGCTTTCCACAAAGCCATGCAAACTCAAAGCGTGGATTGCCTGTGGTAAAATCTGGGAAATTTAGATTCCGCTATCAGAATCCATTTCTTTCGTTCAGTTCGAATTATCAATTCTGAAATACAAATCCTATTCGAGCTGTGAGCTAAACATACCCTGATAGATCAGCAGCAGCCCAGAGGTTGTTTCAGGGTTCTATCTGTGAGTTAACTGTGCCATGATGACTTAGATCAGCCCAGAGGTTGTTTCAGTGTTCGATCTCTAAGCTGGCCGTGCCCTAAATCAGATTCAGCCGAGAGGTTGCTTCAGGGTTCGATAAAACATGATTTTTTTGAGCATCCAAGCACCAGGTCGCGCGACCTATTATCGGTTAAATACAGGTATACTCTGATAATAAATTAAACCTTGAATGACTGGCAAATAATGTGAGATTTGACATGGTGACTTAACGTGCATAACCCCTCTGACTCCATAGTGATATCACTGTTTTGCTGCTGCGCTCTTCAATAATCGAATGACCATGTGCCAAACAAATGAGTCAAGCAAGGTTCGACACACGAGTCTGTTTACATTCAGATTATCAAGGATTAATAAACACAGTGATAGATATGAAGATCAAACAGTCCAGTCAAACAATACTGTAAACAAATTTGGCGATTGATTACTGCGACCATCTGCAGCTCAAAGGCGTGGTCGCCGTCAATTGAGTTTTTCATGTGACGTCACGCTGTAGAGAAATTTATAACCTAACGGACTTCAAGCCTAAATTCTAGTTTTATTTTTACTTTAAAGTCCATGATTTAGTTTATCTGTATGTCATCATTTAGTGAAGAAATGGCGTGCTTTCTGCGTGCTGTTATAAAGCACGCGGGGATAGGTTTAACACGAGAGAAGTGTTTGGAGAAGCACGACGTGTAGCGGAGTGTTTCTCGACACTTTTCGTGTGTTCTGCCAATCCCCAAGTGCTTTATGACTCCACACAGCACGGCATGACGTCACAGTGAACAATCTCAATCTCTTCTCTTCTCTTCTCTTCTCTTCTCTTCTCTTCTCTTCTTTTGTCTTTTGTTTTC